CCGCACGTGTGTTGTTCGCACACGGGCCATTCAGATTCATATGGCAACAGATCCTTCGTCTGACTCAAAGCAAAGGCAAATTCGAGGCTCTCGGTCTGTAGCTGGGAAACCTCGGTGCGAGGTGCCGTATTTTCGTAGACTGCGAGATCACCAATCGTGGCACATGCAGCTATGGATGGTGCAGCAGATGGAGTTTCTCGTACAAACGAAACGCTGGCTGTCATCCAAGCCGAGGACGAGAACGACGAACAGCACCCTGAAACTTCTAAACGGAGATCCGGAGGGCCGAGCTAGTCCAGAGTGGATAGAGAAATAAAGTCCATCTCAAAACATCAGAAAACTGTCATTAACTGGTGGGGAACGCTAAGAGCAGAACCATGTTTTCTTTCGTGCCGGCCGGGTTTCTTCCTCTTCTGGCGTCGAAGCTCAGGGGCAGCTTTGGCTTTGCAGCGGCTCAAGTGTCTCTGCGTCCGAGTTTTGACCTCGAGCTAATCCAATACGGTGGGGGAAACGCGTCCAACATCGGATTGCGTAATTGTAATCTTTAGAAACGAACTACCGAAAGCTTTCACAGTAGAAACTTCCCTTCGACTCCATTCTTTATTGCCAACAAGAGATTTGCTCAGCTGCTGACACGTCAGATCCCCACGAATAGTAGAGAACATATTTAGAGGTCAACGTGATTCATGGAGATGACCTAAGACATGCGATATTGACCATCCACATCCCGTCTTCTAAGTCGCGGAGTCTCTGCGCTAGCCAAGCTAACGAGGATAATCCCCCCTGCGCTAGGCTGCACCGCCTCGGAAATCCTGTCATATCGAAGCGCATCGATCACGCACCTCTCAGGATCCCTTAGGTGCCGGCAACCCGGTACTGCATCGAATGATCTCAAATAAGAATTGCGATGCGGCTAAGTGGTTGTCACAGAGACGATGCAGAACTGCAGTTGTGCGTCGAAGCAACTGCAAGCCTATGCGACAGTCCGTTCCAGAGGCTCGGATGACGCCGAGTCCTGGTACGGATACGTACGAGGAAGAACGGATGGCAAGCATCGCTGAGTTTGGCTGCAGCCCTTTGTGGCGTGCACTTACGGGAGAGATTGACTCGATGGCGGCGCCCTGAAGATGATGACGACGACTTGAACTTCTGCAAAGGCTAAAACTCATCGAAGCTATTTCCTCCATTGGCGATTGTTGATCTAGATTAGCGCCAGGCACAAACGCCGAAGCTTACTTTGGTCTAGCACTAGCATCGCCGATTTCTCATTGAGGTCTAGTCAGATGAGAATAATGTATGGTTTGCGACTGACACCAGCGGTCTACGACTCAAGCACAATCTGACCACAAGCGTGTCATGGATTTCCAGGAGGCTGGGCAGCTAAAAGTCCACGGGCTCGTTGACGTTGACTCGCGAAGAAATTTTGTATTGCACAAAGTTGTTGCTTTTATCGGGATAACCTCTTGCGGTGAGAAAAAGAAAAACCAGCCTTGATACTACCATTTCCGCTCTCACTACGTAAACGTAGACAAAGTCCAATAACACGATAGAAATGCTAAAGCCGCGAATACGGCAAATTAACGACCAAACAAAACCCCAGAAAGCAGGTCGAAAGCCATCACAAACAACCAAACGAAACTTTCTACCGTAGCATAATCTACCATTAATCTATATCTTTGGATTACTTCACGCAATCACCGACGAGCCACCAGAAATAACAAATTCGCCGTGCATCGATATGTCAATGTGTGCACAGTTCGAAAGCTGCAGAACAGTGCACCCAACATTCACAAAAATAGAAGAACCCAGAAAGACGCTTGAAGTTGTCTAAAAACCTTATACACATTAGCATGTTGCTATAGTCTAGTTCTCTGAAGTTCTGTTACCTTTGGCCCCGTGATCTTCGTGTACCTAGTTTTTCATCTCCAAGGGAATGACAGAAGTCAAATGGCTGCTCGGCGGTAAGGGACAGGGCAGATTAGGTAGTTTTCGGAAAGAAGAGACCGACGGCCTTGCGAAGGAGGCCAGCAACCAACTTGCCCGGCTTCTTCTGCGGCTTCGGCGCGCCATCATTCTGCTCCCAATTGATCTTCACATACTTGCCGGTGGTATAGTTGCCAAATCGCAAGTTGCGAGCCGACTTCTTGGCAGTCTTGAAATCGGCATTCTCGACCTCGGGAAGATCGTCATAGATCTGTTGAATCACACTGTCACCGGCGTACTTCTCGATGTCGACTATGTTGGGGTGTCTCTTCGACGAGGCCGCAACTTCGTCAATGCCGTCGCACTCGATGCCCCACTCATCATCATCTTCATCCCCTTCATGGTACTTAGCAAAGCGGCTCTCATGCTCGAGGAGTTCATTGAGCTGCTTCACCCCAGCCTGCTCGAAAGACGGGAACTTGACGAACACGTTCTCATCCAGATCACATAGTCTACCAAGGGAGCTTGAGCTGATAGTAGATACATGAGAGACCGAGATTTGTCTGATTCGTCGCCTCTCTGTCTTAGTAGTAAGAGGCTCGACAGGAGGGACTGCCTGGCTCTGGTACAGATCGGCAAGGCCAAAAACCTTCTGCTTGCTCTTAACTGTGCGACCAGAACTCGGATCAAGCAGCGGAAAAGACTCCAAGCCAGAGATGCTTCGATGAGCGAGGAAGTTTGCCTTGTTCGAGCTATTGGCGCTGAAGGGCGAAGTCGTGGTAGTTTTTGATCCCAATGACGAAGATCGTAGGCCCTCCTGGCTCTTGAAGCGCGTCCACTAGGCAGCCTCGTGAACCTTGGGGGTGGTGGACTCGATGGAGGAGTGGATTGTCGTTGTGGATGGATGTCTGCATCTCAAAACACAAATCTCCAACTGCTTCTCCTGCTCAAGGTCAATGACATCGTCCAGGACGCCAAGTTGGTTGTCAATTCGGACTATGCCAGTCACAGAATGCTGCGAGACAGATTCAGAGCAGCTTTCGCAAGTGACCGCGTGGCCTCGAGTAGCCACGAGGCTGTTGGAAGCCACTGTTTCGTCTCGGAAGCTGTTGGAAGATGGCTTACGACTTATGTTGTTGAGGGTGACAGCGGCCCTAATAAGACTTCGGCTTGGCTTGCTCTTGGATGAGGCATGGCGTGGGCCTTCTTCCAAGAAGGCAAAAATGCGGCGAAAGAAGCCCATTCTGGATTCTGCTGTCATCAGTATTTGTTGAAGTCCAGCTGGTTGCAGCGAGGAGAGAATCAATTTACTTGGGAGAGATAGGTCTACGTCACGCGACGGATCTTGGCGTGCTTTGGCGACGACGCAAATAACGGCAGACAATTCTCGCGGACTCGAGACTTGGAGTAAAATTTGATGGACAAGATTCGTAGAAGACTCTATCAGATGTCTTCCAGTGTCGAGAACTAGTAAAAGACTGCGCCAATAGGTTACTGGTAGGTAGCTTATGGGGGACCAAGTGGTATTGGGCTGATCACGGCGGAAGCTGGAGAAAAGTCGCGTGACAAGTCGCGGGAAAGTCGCGGCGATGCAGTGGGTGGTAAAAGGGAAGATCTCCAAAAGTACGAAATGTTAGAGCCTGTCTATCAGGATGAGAAAAGGCGCCGCGTGAAGCAGTAAAGCTCTCGAGGTGGCCACCGGAGCAGAGTATATTAACGTGAAGTGTAGAGATGCCGACGCGCCAGGTACTAAAGCAATAACTGGTGCCTAGAGTATCCTTTAGTTGTATTGTGAGAGACCCACAACTGTTGACTTGGTCCAAGGTGAAGTTGAAGTGGCCAGCTACTTTTTCCTCATTAGGAAATATCAAGAGGAAGCCGAGCTGCGCTTTGGGCAACTCTTTCCTCCAGATGGCCCATAGCAACTCCACCTTTAACTTACCAATTCCGTCTTGTGCTTGACTTAACACTTTAATCGACTTCCTCTTTCACCGTTTTGATTGACTTCAGCTTCGCCGCAATTGTACCTTGGCCATTACACGTGATATCAGAGGCAAATTGGCCCGTGGGGTTGTTGCCACGGCATCTGCAGGCCTCAACGCGCCCTCTGCGTGATTTGGCCGAGCTTTTCTTCTTTCACATCACTGTTATCAGAAGCGGGATCTTGCGTCAATTGCGAATCTAGTCCCGCGTGATACCTCCTTACTTCTATCCTCGTCCTCATCTCAATTTCTGCGTCGAGATTTCCTTGCTTAATGGCAAGGAGCAGTATTGTATCAATCTAGGATTACCTATCAGCCTTTTCCCTCACTACTCCATCGTATCAGCAAGCCGAAGGAACCGGACTATTACATCTACACAATCCTATTCTCCAGCGATGAGGTTTACCCTCTGCAAGCCTCCGTCTTCTGAAGTCAACAGCTGTGCAAAATTCTTCCCAAGAAACATCGACTACCATGATGGACAAAGCCGGTAGGTCGTGCTCTATTATTTCAAAAACGACACCTTGTCACATCAGGCATTGTCGGACAACTGATGGACTCTTTCACTCAGGCTCCACGATCAAAGGCTCCATTATCTCAGCTCTGGCTGAACATGGTCATTGGCCGTTTGCGAATAACGTCGGACCAGCTCATTCAACTTGTCTTACAGGATCACTTCCGCTCAATGGTATCATCAATAAAGCCATACCACTTCGAAACACAACGGGCCAAATTGGACTTTGCTTTGCCCGAAAAAGCACCTTCACATCTCAGCTCGATCACGAGACCCCCTTCTGTGAATTCGGCAGAAAAGTCTTTCAATCCTATCAAGCCTCGCATACCCAAGACGCACGTACCAATGGGGACGACTACGTTCAGGAAGCCAGTCCTCCAAAGAGTACAATTGGTGCCGAGCCCTCATTCGTCTCCCATCAGAGGATGATTTCTGAGTGCACATACGCTGAAAGGACCGACTCGGAATATGCTGGGAGTGACCGAGACTGGTCCAGTGACGATAATTCTGTGACTTCTTCCGCGGAAAACGAAGAAGAACAAGAGATTGACTAGGTGTCATACTTTGACTTCTTTCCGATCATGTGGGAAGGGATCTTGTCTGGCCACATGGTGGATGAAGATGATTCCAGCCGCACTTTGATCCACGTCACTCTCTACTACCCTGCGTCGCTGTCAATGAGAGAGTTTCTTGACAAGTTCGTGGAAGCAGCAGATGAATCCCTTGAAGTGAATTTCAATCTCTCCACCTCTAGTGTGCGAACAGCATTTGCAGACTCATGGCCCGCAGATGTCTCTGGTGAGAAGGGAGTTGGAGAAGCGACCTTGTGCACCTTGGATGCTTCGAGTAGGCTCAAAGAGAATCGCAACATGCTGAACATATATCAAGAGTCAGATACTGTCGAGTATGAGGATGGCCTTGACTGCGACACTTTCGACAATGCCGACTTCTGGTGGGAGAACACAACACACATTGGCGCCAAGGGCCTCTTGGAGTACTTAGAAGATGATCTAATTCAGCTAATTTATCACGACATGCACGACCAAGAAAACAATTTCGCTTCTCAGCCGATACTCCTTGAAGGAACCCCAGCGTATCACACAACAACGAGGCTAAAAACCCAGATGTACACCGATGAAATCTATGACAATGAACGTGACGATATCGACACTGATGATTGCCAAGCGCGATAATACAATGACGAAAAGCCCTCTATGTATGGACATAATCTATACAGGGAGAGGATGAAGGGTGAATTACACTATCAATGTAACATCAGTGGACTAGGATCACTACTTCTCATGTTCCGTTGTCAAAGCTGCCAAGTAAGTTTCCGCCCTACAGATCTCTCACACAAAGGTTCAGATGCCGACTGATTTGTTTAGTTGTGATTTCTGCTTCGTCAATTTGTAGCCTACATGCCATATCAAACCCTGATGTGGGCGCTAGGCTTCAAGATATTACAACTGTGTGATGATACAAGACAGCCAAGACAGTCCTTAGGCTCTCAGCCATCACCAGTAACCTAGCGACAGTTGCGGCTCTGATTCGACATCTCGGGAAGCAGTTTCTTGTCCTTGAAATTGACCGTTTTTCAGGAATCGTTGATGTTGTGGATTTTTTATTTCCGTAATGCGAGCCTTGGAAAAGTCTTGATAGTGAAGAAGGCGTTCTGTACATTAGATAAATCGTGGCTTTATACACAATTGATCAGGTCCCTTTTCTTAACTGCCTCTTCGCTATTCTGAATTCTGGTCTCTCGGCAGTTATATGTGCAATTCACGTTTCAAGAAAAGAAGTCCACAAGAAAACTCTGAAAAAGAAGAGCCAACGACAGTAGATGTAAAAGGTTCCAGGGTCTCCTTTCCTTACATTATTTTCGAACCTTGCTTTTCAAGAACTTCTTTCCATCTGCATAGCTATCCGCCACTGTCAATGATAGACTAGCTTTTACAACAGCAGGTCCATTTCTTCTCTGCCCAAACAGGATAGCGCTTCCGAAAACTCTATCAGAGTCGCTGGTCTGAAAGTTCTTGAACAGCTTCGCTGCGATGGCGGCATCTGTGGTCGTGCGGCTGGTCCCTCTTTGGGTATATCGATCAAAATGCATGACCAAGACTTGCCAGACTTGCCAAACTGTCCAGATGTACTGTACGAAAACAGGCATCCAGGTAACTTGACAAAGGAGGCCCACTGGGAAATAAGTCCCGAAGGCAATGACGACTGCTAGCTGGATGACCTCGCGGAATCGATTTCGCACAGGATGTCCGTAATGGCGAAAGAACTGGTTGACGATAGAGGGCGGACCGGTGATTAACATGAATTTTCCTTCGATTGCTGGGCAATTTATCTCCCAGTCCCGTGTCTGTTCATCGTCGATTGTGTTTGGAAAAAAATTTAGACCCTCACGATCAAGGGCGAATAAGGTGCCGATAATTCGAAGGACGAGCGGTATAATGAAGATGATGCTCCACAGCGAGCCAGTGATTGCAGCTACGCAGATCATGATGCCGATGCCAACACATTCAGTCAGAATAATCTCCACCAAGCAGAGCAGATCAACACGCTTAATCTCTTCCGAAATGAAAGAGATCTTGGAGTTACCAATGTCTTCGTCTGTAGCTTTTGAGAGCACTAAGTGGCTAACGGCGACTCTTGCGCGCACCGGTTTTGTCTTTTCTTCCGAAGTGACTTTGCCACTCTCGGTGTCATTTGGCTGTCGGATTGTGGGCTCTTTGATGGTTGGAAGAGGCATGTTGAGTAGGGCCTGGACCCAAAGGCAGTTTCGAATTTGCGATTCCCTCTCAGATTCCCCTCCGCGGGCGTGCAGTATATAGGTCCATTCGAGGTCGCGGTAAAAATGTGTTCCAAGCATATGGCCTTGTACAGCCCCGCTAAAGAGTCCATTCTTATATGCAGTGTCGACAACCTCGAGAGCTATTGACCCAATAGGGCCTGCCATAGAGTACAAACATGCTAGTCGCGGCATGTCGTAAATGGAAAACGATGAGAAATGTCGCTGAGGCCAAAGAAACCTCTCGAAGATTGCGCTGGTAGCAGCTTGTCCCCCAACGTAACCCAGTAGCGAACTAAAAGCG